ACAGCACTGAAATGCAAATTGAAGTAAGATTTCTGCTTCTATATCTGCCACTCAGTTTAGTCTTTGAGCTATAGAGAGGTAATGTGATGTAGTATATAGACTATTAGCTTTTGCCCTTGCTAGCTTTGTGGAATTGGGTAGTTAATCTCTCTGAGATTTAGTTTCCTTTAACAGAATATATTGTGCAAGGATTGAGTGAAATGTTTCTAAAGTGACCAATATTTACCAATTTCCCCTTATTTGTATTTCTGTTCTGCTGATTAGTGACTAAGAGTTAGGGAGTTAGGGTATCTGGGGTTACACTGCTTGGTTAAAATACTAGCTCTACTGCATACTAACTATATGACAAGAGATAAGTTAGTAAACTACTCCAAGTCTCAGCTTATCCATCTATAAAATGAGCTATAGTATTACTTCATATGCATTACTTCATATAATATTACTTCATATAATATTACTTCATATGCATACTTAATATTACATATATGGATTAAATAAGTTAATTCCTAGAACTAGTGGCTGGCATGTAGAAAGCCCTCATTAAATATTGGCAATTGTTATTCTTTGCTGTTAACAAAATCCGTAAAATATGGGGTCTCCAGGATGTGGCTTCTCTCCATTATAAATGTGCTCTTCTGCAGACAAAAGTGGTAAATAGAAAATGCTTGTGGAACCTTAACTCTGGTGCCGTGTCACATATAGAAATTTTTTGATATTTGCAACCATAGTAAAACAAAGACTTATATTTTTGATATTTATTTTATATATTTAAATCCCATTTAACAAAGAAAAATCAACCAAAAAAATGAGTTCGCGTGTCACCTCTGACACGTGTGTCATAGGTTCGCCATCACTGTCTAGTAGTTGAGAGATGTGGGCTGTGAGAGGTACAACAAGTGCTGCCAAAACAATGCTGGATAGAGTTCAGAGAATGGCAACAACAGGTAAGAAGTAGATATGAAACTCACAAGAACATTGTAAATCTATGGTCGTATGTAAGCTTGACCTTATAGTCTGACATTTTAGTCCTAGGACCTAGGTAGTTGAGAGATGTGGGCTGTGAGAGGTACAGCAAATGCTGCCAAATCAATGCTTGATAGAGTTCAGAGAATTGCAACAACAGGTAAGAAGTATATATGAAACTCGCAAGAACATTGTAAATCTCTTGACTGCTCCCTTGTTTTGCTTTGTGTGATCTGACTATAAAGATTTGGCTTACAGGCGCGGTCACTGTGTCCTCATCCAGGTGCAGTGGTCCACCTGGCCCCAACTGTATTCTCTTGTCTGTTTTCTTTAATCCTTCTCTGCCCCTCCTCAGGTTCACCACTGGCCGTGCTGGACCCGGTTCA